AAATGATTTAGATCATCATTCAAGTTGAACGATTCAGGTCATCATTCAAGTTAAACAATTCATCATCGTTCTTCTTGAACGATAAAAAAATATCGTTCAAGTTGAATGATTCATCATCGTTCTTCTTGAATGATAAAAAAAATTGTTCAAGTCGAATGATTTGTCATCGTTCTTTATGAACGATAAAAAAATTGTTCAAGTTGAACGATTTGTCATCATTCTTCTTGAACGATAAAAAAATATCGTTCAAGTTGAACGATTCGTCATCATCTTTCTTGAACGATAAATAAATATTGTTCAAATCAAACAATTCGTCATCATTCAAGTCAAACGATTCGTTATCGTTCTTCTTGAACAATAAAAAAATCATTTAAGTCGAACGATTCGTTATCATTCTTCTTGAACGATAAAAAAATATCATTCAAGTCGAATGATTCATCATTGTTCTTCTTGAACGATAAAAAAATATTGTTTAAGTCGAACAATTCATTATCATTCTTCTTGAGTGATAAAAAAATATCGTTCAAATTGAACGATTCGTCATCGTTCTTCTTAAATGATAAAAAAAATCATTCAAGTTGAACGATTCATTATCATTCTTCTTGGATGATAAAAAAAATCATTCAAGTTGAATGATTCATCATCGTTCTTCTTGAATGATAAAAAAAATTGTTCAAGTCGAATAATTTGTTATCATTCTTCTTGAACAATAAAAAAAATCGCTCAAGTCGAACAATTCGTCATCGTTCTTCTTAAATAATAAAAAAATATCATTCAAGTCAACTCGAGTCAACTTGAATCAAGTCGATTTTAAATCGAGTTGAGTTAAATATTTAACTCGACTTGAATTTGACTTGACTTGCAAATCATCAATTCAAAAAAATATAAACTCGACTCGATTTAAACTCAACTCAGCTTATCTGACTCGTAAGTTAACTCAACTCGTCCAGAACTCTATTCTTTTCCTTTAATCCTATTTTTTCACAATAATATTCTTCTACATGATTAAAGTTCTATTTATCAATTGGGTGTATATGATAAAAAGCTAAGAATTGATTAGCAGATATTTTTTTATATGAAGAGAATTTATGATTAGCCAGTAGATCCTGCTTCTATTGGTTAGAATTCCTCACGATTATCATATAACAAACCTTTTTTGTATTATTTTTTAGAAATCACTAAACGTCACTTGGGCAATTATCACCTAGATGATCATCGCCTGTGTTTTTTCTTGAATATGTCAAATCTTTCTCACTTTTTATATAAATATAACTATTGTTCATTAACAATTATTAGATTTTCTCAGTTAGTTCATTGATTAGAATGATAAATAATTTTTTTTTTCTTAGGAACGCAATTTCGATTCCTACACTGAGCCTTTATTTTTTTCAATTTTTTCATCAATAAATTTTGTGATGCATTTAGTCCTAAAAAACATGTATTTATTCAATAAATTGTCATGCATTCATTTAATATAAATTGTTACACATTCAAAGTTATATGTTAATCATAAATGCAAATTCTGTTTCAAAACCCTTTATTATTAAAAAAAATTGCAAACAATAAGGACGCTGACATATATTAGCTAATATAATTTTAATATAAGTGCCTACTCTAGATAAAATATTACATATTACAGATCATTTGCCTTTTTTAGATTTGTAAGTTAAATAAGTCAAAAGTAAATCAAGAAAAAATAATAAAAGTATATATATATTTCGATTTATAAATTTGTTTATTTTCAATTTTTTTTATTTTAAATAAAACATTTAAACTATTTAAGCAACTTGTTTTTACATTTTAATTACAATTTATATCCTTTGTGCTGCAGGATACTGCAAAATGCTGTGAAAGACTATTTTACACAAGTTTTTTTTATTCAAATTAGCTTAATTAAATTCAAATGAAACCAATTGGTTAAAAGCTACCTTGTTGCATATTTTTATGCGTCATATTCAACTTTCTATTTCACGTCTATATAAAAAAACACTAATATTTTATTTCAAATATTAAATATGAGTTGATAAACCTTTTTATTTAGTCCTAAGTTTAATAAAAAGCCAATATATAACCCACTAACAAATAAATATCAGGAATTTTCCAATGTTTATATATATATTCTAATGGTAAAAACAGGAAACAGTATCTTGAACTGTGCTAATATTTGTCATAAAGCATCATAAAAATGAAAAAAAATTAAAAACAAAGGTGCAGCAGAAATCGATGATATAATCAGAAAATATTTGACCACTCAATTTAATTTGTATGATATACAAACAATGAGATCAAGATGTTCCTCTGTAACTAAAGAAGAATCAACTCCTCCCTTTCCTAATATTCATTTAGTAAAACCTATATTAGAAATTTTTATTAACGCAACAGCTTAACAAAAAGTGGCAAGTGGAATAACAATGACTGAAAAAACTTATCGAATTGGAGCAAATCTACAATATCACAACTGATTCTCAACTTCACCATGATACATATGCAAAAATAGTAGATCTTTGAGTCTAAGTTAAATCTAATCAGGATAGGATTCTCAAATTAAAAAAGAACACAAAATATGTTTAAAATTGCAAAGAAAAAAATAAAAGATGCTTGCTGAAAATCAGAAGGTCATACAATATGATAGATCTGGTCATCCATCCCTTCTTTTCAAATACCCAAAATTATATGATCATATTCACAATTTGGTCGAATTCAGTTCAGCTGATGAGAAATGACGAAAAGAAGTAGTAAAAGTTCAGATTATCAAAAATTTGCATAAAAATTTTGAGGAGAAATATAATATCTATATGACACGAACAACATTAAATAATTATCTGTTATTATGCCAATCTAATTCTATTATTGCAAGAGCTTATCATCATCTAGCATAGATAGCAGTAGCTAGAGTTTTACAAACGGAGATCTAAGATCATCCTGATGGTCATTATTGCCTTACATTCATTAAATATGCAAGGCAATTTGTAACTGTTTTTGCTGATATGTCAGTTGTTATCTCCTAAGATAATAAGGTAAAGATAGATCTTAAAATACCTGCTGTAGGTCGAATCTTCCAAAAATTGCAATCAGTTCACAAGCCTATTTGTATGGCTGATCACAATTTTCCTGTGAAGTATAGGCAAAAGTTAATTTTATCAGTTTATCTTATAATCAAACTAAATGATTCAAATAATGAACTACGAACAGACTAACTTGCCATTTTTGTGCAATGCCAATGATTCCTTAATACATTCTTCCTCATACATATACAAGACTTTAAAAGTCTTTTTTTAAATGACTAATACGATGATGTGTTAAAGATCAATAGAGAAATTCGATCAATCTGGATTTTATTAGTAGATGGAGGACTAGATGAGAATCTGAGATATTTAAAAAATATTAAAATATATTGCTATCTTTTTCAAAAATTTAATTTGGATTACCTGATTGTACGGACACATACTTCAAGGTAATCCAAATATAATCCAGTTGAAAGAGGTATGGCGATGCTATTCAAAAAGTTAGCAGATATTATACTACCAGTTGATCACTTTAGAACGCATTTAAATACGTAAGGCAAAGTGATAGATCTAGTTAGCTCTTCAAAATTATCAATACGCTGGAGAGGCTCTTTGTGATATATAGCGTCGTGATTTGATTTTTGGAAAAATATAGATACTCAGTATGTCGAAGAATTTATCAATCCATTTGAAGACTTACAATTTGAGGGTACAGAAAAAGAAAAAACAGAAGAACAAAAGAGACAAGAAAAACAAAAAAAGAAACAAAAAGAAAATGACTTAACTGATGATTGTTTTGTATCATGATCCTGGATTGAAAATTATTGTAATCTATGCCAGTATTCGCTCAATATTAAATAATGCATAAATACAAGCTATTGTAGTCTACCTTATATAAAAAAAGCTATAAAATTCCTTTAATCGAACAATGACTTCTTGCCTTTTATTATCAAAGCTAAAGATAGCAACTTTACCAACCCAATACACCTGCTTGAATATTATAATCTATTGAAAATTCCTGGCTATGATTTTCATTGCCTATCTATTGATAAAATAGTATATTTACGTCTTTGTTATTCTAAATGTGATAAATATTTTCTAACGCTTACTTTTTGACGAACTACAAACGAACAATACATCTTGCCAACCGTAGACGACTCAAAGGAAAAGGTAAAAACCAAAACTCCTCAACTCTTAACGATTTCTCTCTTCTTCTATCATAACAATAACGAGAGAAAATACTTCTTTTTGAGAAAATGCGTTTGAGAGAATATATGTCAGATCAAGATTAATAATTGATAAAATCAGAATTGTGTAATGTATATCTGACACATAATTATATTAATAAAATTTTTTAAAATAAAAATACTAAGCTACCTTTATCACATGATTTATAATTTATGTGTAACCTAAGATCAATTACTAACCCACCCCCTAAAATATTAGCTAATATATGTCAGTGCCCTTATTATATTATATTTTTAATATTTTTTACAAATTTATAATAAAATAAACTTATTTTTAATAATTTAATTTGAAAAATAAATAATGTATATATTTATATACATTTTAATATTTTATATATTATTTGATATATTAATTAATTTAAAAAAATATTTTGATTATTTTTTAACTAAGATATAATTTTTATATTAATATTTTTTTATATATCGATTTTTACATATAAGGGAAACAAGAAACTATTTTAGATTTCTTAATTTAAATATTAAATGACGTTATTTTTGATACCCCCCAAACAAATGCCAGATATAGTTATTATTGTATTACTATATAAGGATAAATTAAATATATTAATTTAATATTAATCCAAATTGGTTAATCATCCATTTAAAGATTTAGATTACATGTGATCACCTAAACCATTGTTTCTAAGATAAATAAATATTTCTAAATGCTAAATAAATAAATAAATAATGTGTAAAGTACGAAAAAATACGGGAATATAATTAATTCAATCATACATGTTAGTATATTTCAATTGTCTATCGATACATCTGCATTATCTTCAGTATCTACATGATGTCTCAACATGAATGAATTTGTCGCGATACGTCTTTCTTGTTCTGGATTATGGGTCACCAGAATACACGCGTATTCTTTAAGCGACTCTTCAACTAAAAGACACGTGTCGGGGTCAAGAGCAGATGTTGGTTCTATAAAGGCAAAACAAAAATTTTTTAAGCTAATATACGATTATGGTAAAATTTTATAGCGCCATGTATTTACCATCGAGAAGTAACGCATCGGGTTTACAAGATAAAGCAATTGCTAACGAAATACGCTGAATCTCTCCTCCTGACAACTGATTCCATTCCTTGTCCCATGATTCGTCCCTAACATTCCATCTAAAGAAATAACAATTAGCACTGAACGCGTATAAAAAAAAATAGTATGTTCTTCTTACTGTTGGGAAATTTCAATCTTTAATTAAAAAGATATATTTGTTAATATCTTGAACAAAAGCAATTTCAACATAAGTATCGCAGAAAACTTACAGGATCGACGTGGCAATTTCTCGATCTCTGATGTTTAAACGATAGCATTTTCTGATAGAATTCCATTGGACTACCCGGCATTACGGCTAATAACATTACAAGTTCAATTAGTAATTATATTGATTTTTCGAATAAGGAAATCAATTTTTTAATTATTATACATACGAGCCCTTTGCGGAACATACATAACACGGGTTCTCCAATTGGGAATTCCGTAATCCTCTGGAGACCTATTGTTAGATTAATCACGTAAGTAATGAGAATATTCTCACAATTAATAATTACTTACTTTCTGTTCAAGTAAATTATTCCTTCCTCGTACAACGTCAACTGCGCAATGCATTTTAGTAATGTTGACTTCCTTTAAATAGACATAAATCAATATTACGAATTTTACTTTCCATTCAATTTAATTTAAATCAGGAAATACTTACCCGGAACCACTTGGCCCAGAAATAGCCAGGATTTCTTTATCTTTCAAAGATAATGACACATCCCTAAACAAAAAAGTTCCGTCAGCTTTCAATTTGCAAAGACGTTCGACTTCAAGATGCATTTTGAAGGTAAATTTCCGTGTATAATAATTTTAAAAAGAAAAAATGGTTATGACCTTCAGATTGGTGTGTTTGAATTTGATTATGAAATTTTCATGGATTTTTTTTTTTTTTTATTTTAGATATGGGAATAAAGTTCGGGGGAACATTTCATTGGAAATGATAAACAAGATTTTCTAGATTCAGCAAAAAAATTTTCCGCACTTGAACAAATAAAATAAAGTGCTATCATTGCATCATTGTCACACAAACTAACTCCCTTGGATAATTTAGACAAATTCCAAAAAATTATATAACGATTATTTTTTTTTTTCAAAAAATTAGCAAAATTGAAGCACTTCAAATTTAAAAAGTTAGTTCACAAAACGGTTGGTCGTCGTAAACAACCTTTGTTTAGTACGACTGATAAAATTATAGTCGACATGGACTTTCTTAAGCTCACAAAGGTTCGTCATCATATTACACTGTAAATTTTAACGTGAAAAGCTGTTACTAATTGCTTATAATTGGTTTTAATGGATTTGTATTTATGTTTTGATAAATACTTTTTTGGCGATGATATAGGTTCAAAATGTGCAACTTGAAAAATCGAAGGAAGTCATTGAGGGTACGCTACACTTGACAACACACCAAATGATTTTTAAATATTCAAACGAAAAAGAAGAGTTATGGGTAGGTAGCATTTTGTTTTACTCAATACTTAATTCTTGCTCTTGAAGGATTGGTAAGGACCAAAGTCCAATATGAGTTAATTTACTTAGGCGTAACAGATAATTGAAGTTTTCTGGTTTTTTTTCTTTGGATGATTAAAGTACACTTTTCAACGTATACTAAAAATGTATCACGTTTAGTTCATGGAGATATAATAAAAATTATCCTAAAATTGACCATTGGTTTTAAATTAACAGATTTCATATCCAATTATCCATACCGTTGAACGTCGTCCGCCAACTTCAGAGCCAAAACTCTGGCCCTTACTAATAAAGTGTCGTAACTTTATTTTTGTTACGTTATCGGTACCAGTAGAACGCGAAGCGATCGATGTATTTGATACAATACAAAAATTAACCTGTATCAGTATGTGAATCGTCTTATGTATCTTCATTATATAATGCATTTAAATTTTTTTTTTTGAAAAACCTAGGCATTACTGATTTAATGATTTTTTTTTTTCATCTTTGAATTCATTCAAATAAATCAATCTACTTTTTTTTTGATAAAGGTTCTATTAGTCAAGTTTATGCATTTTATTATACACCCGAGAAAGAATTCAAAAGCCAAGACGGATGGAACGTCTATGATCCACTAAAAGAATTTGACCGGATGGGTATCTGTACCATAACAGAAACGTGGAGATTTTCGCACGTGAATCGGAGCTATAACGTATATAAACTTGATTCATTTATAATTTTTCTTTTTAATGTTAATAAATTAATAATTATTTGATTCGATTTTAGTTCTGTCCTACTTATCCATATATTTTGGTCGTTCCCCACAAAATTAGCGATAGTCATCTGAACTATGCAGCTAAATTCAGAAGTAAATGTCGCATACCAACTTTAAGTTATCTACACCGCAACAAGGTATTTATGATAATTTATTGTTCCGAAAGCTTCAAATTTTACGGATACAATTCATTTATTAATTTATTTAATGTGATTTAGGCCTCAATAACACGGTCCAGCCAACCAATGGTTGGAATTCAACAAAAGCGTTCAATACAAGATGAAAAACTTATTCAGGCGATTTTTGAATCTCATCTAAATATTTCACCTAATGGACGGCCTGTATACGGATCGACAGCCCATAATTTGATTATTGACGCACGGCCAACGGCGAACGCAATGGCTAATGCAGCAATGGGGCTTGGATCAGAAAATACTGAATATTATAAAAATTGCGAAAAGAGATTCATGGGTATTGATAATATCCATGTAATGAGAGAAAGTTTGGCGAAAGTAGTAGAGGGTAAATACCAATCATTTATAATAAATTATTTCGTGTGAAAATTTTTTTTTTTTTTTTTTTTAAAAAAAAGCCAATTTGATTATTTAGTGTTACAGGCTGCAGATTCACAAGGATTACCTATAAAGAAATATCAATTAGATAAGTCTAATTGGCTTAAACATGTCAGTGTATTGTTGAGTTCAGCATATGTAATTATTGAAAATGTGAATGTCAAGGCTTCACACGTACTTGTGCATTGTTCAGACGGATGGGACCGAACAGCACAATTAACATCGATTTCAGAATTATGCTTGGACCCATATTATCGTACTTTTAATGGATTTCAAGTATTAATTGAAAAAGAGTGGGTGTCATTTGGGCACAAATTCAGTGACCGATCCGGACATCTATCGAATGAACGGTATTTTATTAATGCATCAAATACGAATGCTGCAGGATCAGCATTTAGTTCAGTACAAAGCAAATTTAAACAGTCACATGTTCGTGAAACATCGCCAGTATTTCACCAATTTCTGGATTGCGTTTATCAATTATTTCAACAAAATCCGACACGGTTTGAATTTAATGAAAGATTTTTAGTAGATTTACATTATCATAGTTACTCGTGTCAATTTGGTACATTTTTATTTAATAGTGAAAAAGAAAGGCATGTATATAATGTAAATAAAAAAACTCACAGTGTATGGGATTATTTTAATAGTAACAAAGGAGTATTTTTAAATCCGTCATATTGTGGGGAAAAAGAAGATCGAGATCCAAGAGACATGGGAGTGTTATATCCTGACGCGAAAAATGTTAAATATTGGGCAGGGTTATTTAGGAAGAAAGATGAAGAATTAAATGGGAATGGAGATGAAGGAAGTGATGAAAAATCAGAAGAAGGAATGGGAGCGAGAATAAAGTGGAGATCAGATAGTCCAACGGGATCATTGAATGCTATGACGGATCCTCTTGGAGCCATGGGAATTGGGGACTTAAATTCCAATAATATTGTGGAAGATATAGCATCGGTTATGACAAATATTTCTTCTCCATTTGTAAAATCCATGGTCGATTTTGATGCAGGATTGGACCCATGGAAAACGCATACCGAAACCAATGGCATTTTTAATGGTAACGATGGTACTAGGGATTTAACACCTTCAGCGAGAGAAAAAGGATCGAATGTATTTGCAAGTTTAACAGCAGCAGCATATTCTAATGTGGTCGCAATCGCAAGTAAAATTAATTCAGATTTAGATGAAAATAACACATACATTAAGAAAAGTAATAGTAATGAAAGTAGTAAAGTTGCTACACCTGTAGAAGAATTAGAAGAAAGTAAATTTAATAGCGCACCTAGGGAAATGATGTCATTTGGGACAAAAAATACTAAAATAACTGAAGATAATAATTGTATTACAACTTCAATTAATTCTAACGGAAGGCAATTCCCATCGTTATTTTTATCAAGAGGGGAAAGTAATCGTAATTCATTACCTTCTCTTGGCGTAAGAACAACACCACCTTCTTCACCATATTTACGTACCATTTCGGGAACTAGTACTCCAACTTATGAGAAACAAATATTAAGTCCGATTACCTTATCATCAAATAATAATTATAATAGTAATTCACCATCACCCAAAATAAGATCAAGCAATTCTGATTTAGAAAAATCACTAATGATAGCAACGAATACGAGTATAAATTCAAGCGGATTAGGTTTAGGTTTAAATTTTGGTAGCGGTAGTAGTAGTAGTAGTAGTAGTAATAGTAGCAGTAGTAAAAGTAGTAGTAGTAACAGTTCCAAATCACATTCAAGGTCCAATAGTTTAGGTGCGATTATGAGTTTAGGAGTTGGAAGTAATACAAATTCAAAACCCAATTCACCATTGCATACACCTCCAATACCAAGTTCTCCTGTTCCAAACTCGCAAGATAAAATGAAAGAATTACCGCATCCACTATATAATGTTGACCTTCTTTCTTCTCCGTGATCTCACGCTTAAGTACGGGAGAGAAGGAGGCGTGTTGAAGAGAGAGTCAACATTTATAGTTGATAATTTTTAGTTGAAGAATTTACATTGAAAATGTATTAGATAAAATATTAAAATTAATATATATTCTTTTTATTGCCTTTTAGGAACTTGCATTCTTTATTTTTTTATTTTATTGATTTTTTTTATCTGGAGAATGCGTTTGTATTTTTGAGAAATAGAAGTTGTTTTTGGCGATTGTTTTCTTTCCAACTTTATTTTTAGAATATCATTTTTGTATATTTTTTTTTTTTATTTATTGTAAAGATTAAAGAGTAAAGATAAGAGATTAGAAGATATAATTTTAAATGAACAATTTTTTTTTTTTTTTTTTTGTAGAATAAATATACATATAGTTCGACTTTTAAATTATCATTCATTGTAAAATCTCTATTTAATTGGTACTTTTTTTTTTCTTTGTTTTTTTTTTGAAATATAATCATTAATTTGACATGTACACAATGTCGCGTTATTAAAGTCGTTAATATATATATACATATTTTTAAAATAAAATATTTCCCTTGAATTTATGATTTCAAAAATTTTATTGGAGATTTTGCGATATGCAAGCCTCCTTGCCGGACTCTCAAGGGAGATATTTAGTAATCGACGAGTTAACCATAGAAAATCGAGTGGTTAACTTAGTATTAAAAAATTTTATCGGATAAAATTATATTTATTAGGAAAATTAATTATTCATTGATCAAAAAAGGAAATAATTAATAATGATAATTTCCCGAGTCCTGGGACCTATTTTGTGCAAAGTATAAATAATTAAGTTTATGCACTAATTAATATATGAAACATTTTGGAGGGATTAATCATTGGTTCGTTAAAATTAACTTTCCAGGTAATGACATTGCTGGTTGTCTTTTTACGTGTTGATCAACCTACTTTGTTCTATATTTGGATGAAACTAATTAAATACAAGAAAAAGAACGAGAGATGATTTGATTCCTTCAATAAAAAAAAAAAAAGATGCGTTGCTAATGTGCGAATGCTTACAATATATGAGAAATGAGAAATTTTTTGCGCAAATCTTTGAGAATATTGACAATTGGGTTTTTGAAACGCTATTTTTTTTTTCTATGCGCACTAATATTAGATAAACACACATCTACGTGTAATCGATATCTATGTGTGAGTACAAGCTTAATTGATAACGCGTAAATTATACGCATCTATACATAAAATTTTAATAAACCAAAATTTCCTTGTTAAATTTTCCATTTTACCTAAGAAATTATACCTTTGTCCTTTTAGAAGATTTTGTATATTTCCGTTGTTGATATCACATTTATTCAACAAAAAAAAAAAAAAATAAAAAAAAGAGTAAAACTACACGAAAGGGTTGTTAACCGATAAGCCAAAAAATGTCCATTCAACCTAAATCAGGAAGATCTCCAATCATTGAAAAAAAAAAAAAAAGGATGATTCGAATTTATTAAAACAAATATTTATAGGTAGTGTCCAATTAATTCGGAATTTTACATTGACCAGCTTATGGGTTGGGTAAATCTAAATTGGTATAAAAATTAAACATTATTAAAAACAAGGTAACACCAAAAAATACAAAGGTTATTTGTTTATTTCTTTGTTTGAATTAATTTTTTTTTCATATGCACTTTCATATATTAAAACTTTCATTTCTATTTATATGTAAATAAATAAAGAATTATATATATATAAATATACACGCGCGCAACCTTTTCGCCCTTGACAATTATTTTCTCAAATGTGTGAAAATAAGCAATTATTCACGGTAAAATTGTTGTATTAAATCCTTCCTTTTTTTTTTTTTTTTTTTTTTTTCTTTTCTTTTCTTTTTCCTTTTCTTTCATTTCGGAGGAATCAGAAAAGAAAAAATAAAAAAATTTTTTTTTACCATCGGATTAAAGATTTAATCTTTTAAGAAAGTTCATCTCCCACAATTTCCCATAACTATATTCAATATAACCCTTAAGGAACCTATTATATTAATTTTATAATAGCGTGAAAAGTTCATCCAATCAGATATCGCACAGAACAACGACAATTTTTTGTCAAAGGGTATCAAATCCATTGTAATTCCAAAATCATTATACATAAGATTGATTATTAGGAAGTTAGAAGATTCTAAAGGTAGAACATTTATATAAATAATTACGGTATAATAGTCTTTTCATTGTTTGGGAGACAAAACAATAATTATTTGATTAAATATATTTTACATTTTTCCGATATTCAACTCAAAGTGTACAAAAAAGATTTATTTATTTATTTTTTAATATAAATAAAGCACGGATTTGAATTATCGTTTCATCCTTCACTTTTTCCCTCTTTTCAAAGAAATGCAATCAACCTTGACAAACCAAAATTTTAATATTCAAAATGATTTAATTCAAAATCAAAATCAAGATAGAACTTCTGCTCCAATCCCTTCTTTATGTCAAATTCACATTCATCAAGATTTATCATCAACATCGTCCGTGTTGTCAACTTGTAATGATAATAATAATGCATTAACAAATGTTTCCACAAATAATAATGTATCCACAGATTTCAACTCAAATGTAACAAATATTTCTTCACGAAATGGACTACTTCCGTCAATACCACCAAGAGCACTTGCTCGTTCGAATATTACTACATCAATATTACCATTAGATTACTTACCTTCCTACTCGATAGTAGTAGGAGACATGCCGCCGGAGTATCCATTAGATCAAGACCCACTTCTTGATTCACCTCAAAATTATAATCATCCAAGAATCGATGAAGCATTATTTGTCGAACCGTTGATTTATCTGGCTCCAGTAGAACCACAACAATATTGGCCTATTACCAAAAGACTTTATATTTATGGCTTTATAATATGGCCACTTTGGATAATTGGTTCATTTTTCGTTTTATTTGGTAATGAATATAAAGTTAAAAAACAAGAAACAAACTCGAGTGAAGGAGGAAGTGATACTAAATTTAATACTGGAAGATTAAAGTGGGCCAAAAGATGTTTATTTAATTTTTTAATCTTGGCTTCTGTTTCTATTTATATTGGTGTCGCTCTTAGTAAAAGTAAAGGAAAGCTTTATTAAGATAGGATTCTATGTATATTATTCTTTCATTTCGATTTTGTAAATTTTTTTTTTTTTCATTCCTTTTTTTCTTTTTTTTAAAAACAATTTACATTTACTCTTTTTTTTTTTTTTCATTAGAATAATTTTTTTTATTTCTCTTTCCTTTTCATTTTATCACACTTGCATATAATAATTCACTCACAACACTTTAACTCTGTACTACAGCATTAGCATATAGAGCATATGGGAAGTTTGCTAGGAAAATGGGGCTCTGGGAATTTTTTTTGATTAAAATTTACATTTTAATCTAATAACATCAAAAACTAAAATGCAATAACAAAACAAAATTTTGTTAAAAATTCCCAGAGTCCCATTTTCCTAGCAAACCTCCCATATTAGCATAGCAAAAGAATTAAATTATACATTATACATTTGTACAGACAAAAACTCATTCATCGAATTTGTAACTTAACGACAACGAAAATAAAATCACCTGACAACTTGATGCCCAAATATAGTATACTTGGATAGTTGCTTTGTCATCCAATTGGGGGCGTCCATCTTTTTAGACGGCAATTCCCGAAATCTTTTTGAACCAACCATCCCAAAGAAAAGAACCGTTCGTTTTATATGAAACTGCAGCATCATTAAAATAAAAAAATAAATAAATAAAAATTAAAAAAAAATAAAACAGCATACGATCATCCAATCATTTTCTCATTGTAAGAATCATCGATTTGAATCATTTGAAGTCGTTACAAAGGTCATTTGTCAAAGTCGCCATGTAATTTAAAATGTCGGATAAATGATGTTAGAATTAATGAATCGATCAATTCTTTGTTCCCAAATATCCGTTCTTATAAAAAATTACAATCGTATTAAAAAAGTTTTTTTTTTGGATCCGTAAACATGCAGAACTTTGTTACGATTTCTTTCTTGTTCTCCATTAAGGGACGAATACGTTATGTGACTATCACTTTGTTCATAACAACACACGTTCTGCATGGGAATTTTTGCGAAAATTGGATCCACGATCCACTTATTACAGAGAACTGATACCGGACACAATGATTATCCCATCGCATTATTTTCACGAATAGAGATGTTAAAAATTCCGGTAACTTCATTATTCACGTCAATTATGCGTGTCTTTAAACAGAATATTGAACACCTATCTTATTTAAACGATATTAATTCTTATAAGGGAAAGTATCGCTAGGCGGATTCACAAATATATTAAAAAATTCATAAATTATTAAAGAAAAATTATTTAAGTATAAATTTACATAAATTTAAAATATAAGGTTATGTAAAGTTAAATAAGTTAACAAATTTATAAAATTATATTTTGTAAGATTATAAATTTTATTCTCATTAGAATTATCAATCTGATCCCCTAGTACACGAGGTGATCGCTGAAGGATCGATCAAAATAGAGTTTAAAAGTCGGCATTTGCAGATTAACCCCCTTGAACTGCACAATTCGTCCCAGAACTTTTTTTAAAGTGTAAATTCTGCTGGGTTTACACTTGTAATTTTTTTTTCTTCGGGCAATTTACTATGATTATTTATACCACCTTCTCATGTTTATTTATTCTATTGTTAGTGACCTAAATTTTTTCCCTATAATTCTTCAGCACCTCCTCTAACTTTATCTTTCCTTTTTATTTATTATTATTATTATTTTTTACCTGATTTTTTTCTAAAATGTGCGCGAGATCCGCATCCGCAAAACCCAACGGGTGCACAATGATGATGACATCATGCGCGGAATCAATATTGTCGTCGCACATTTCAAAATTACAGATTTGGTGTTAACCAAGATTCAGACTTGTATCTGATACCTAGAATTCATGCGTCACTGAGTTATTTGCTACAATTTCAGATGAAACTCGCCCTAAACGCTGCATAAGTTATTGTAAAAAAACCATTAAAAGGTTGGGAAAAATAAAAGTTACGTCATAATCATGTATAAACGATTAGGTGGTTTTGTAATGTTGGGCATTCATTTAGTTCCTGCTCTTAATAATATGATAACTATACATTTATATCATCAAAAGTTCTTTATTCAAAAAAAACAACCTAAACTTGTATTTATTATTACAAGAAGGATAAAAAATTATCTTATTACTTGTATAAGAAATTTTTGAACGATAAATATCGATCAAGCTTATTCTTTTTTTTTTTTTTTTTTTTATAATAATAATAATAATAATAAAACAACAAAAATTTGAAACTTAAACAAAAAGTTAATCAAAAATATGGTACTCCACATTTGCACTTTTCTAATTTTTCTTCTAACTCTGCAACCTTTTTCTTTAATATTTCATTTTCTTTTGTTATCACATCCAATCTTTGTGTGCTTTGCACAAGTCTATGTTGCATTTCTGCATGTTCACCCTGAACAAAATTTAGAAATAAAAAATGTCAATAAAGATATTAATGTGTGGATCCGTTTAATAAACGTTTCAATAATAAGAAAATTAAAAAAAAAAAAAAATGATAATTACATCAATAGGTCCCGCCAATAACTCAAAATCTAAAATTTGCTTCGCGTTAGGCCTTTTGTCCGGATCTTCAGCCATCATCCATAAAATGAATGCGGCTTCTTTAGGAAACTTTTCAACAAATCCTTTTGGCAAGATTCCATTCCTCAAATTTTTTAAAACTTGAATACGTTCGTGTCGAGTTGAAAACGGGTAATGTAGTTCAAAGAATATGATGCCTAAAGAATAAATGTCCACCTTTTCATTATAAGAAGAAGCGGGTTTTGCCAGTTGTTCTGGTGATGCGTACTAAAGGGAAAAGGAAAAAAAAAAAATTATTATTATTGTTATTTTTTTTATTTTTAAAGAAATGCCTAACATATGAACTAGATATTATGAAAGATATATTGTACCGTAATCGTACCAACTCCGGTGGTTCTTCTGGATTTATAATTGTAAGAAGATGAGGCAGAACCATGTTGTATGTTATCAGGACTCCTATATCCATCCCTAAACTTTAACATATTAGAAAGTATGACATCATCAATAGGAGATCCGTTATCCACTGCAGTTACTAATCCAAAATCACCAATTTTAGGAACTAAACGCTCAACGGAGAATGATGAACTATCTGCGGCAATCCAGCTATTCTGATCAGATCCATTGTCGAGAACGATGCCCATGAAAATATTTCCCGGTTTTAAATCACGGTGGATTAATCCTTGAGAGTGAATATAAGCAACGCCGTGAACGATACCACGAAACAATTCAATGCTAGCATGACGATCAATCGCATTTAATGGATCCTTCTTAGTGGTCAAGAGGTTAGAATCTCTACGTTTTAAATAATCACGTAAACTGCTATGACATAATTGCATTTGGATAAAGAGCATCCAGTCTCGATTATTGTCCATCTGCGTATTATCACCCAGATCTTGGCATACTGCGATAAAGTTTTCTCCATGAGAATGATCGAGACTTGAAGAATATTCATGAACAGAGTTCGAAGAGTGAAATCCTCCTACTGCAGAGATGTCCTCTCTTACGAAATCAATTCCACTGAAATCCTCTGATTTCTGTTCATCATCCGAAAATGACATTCTAAAGATGTCCGAATCATCTTGTGAACCGTCTTCAATTATCTTACTACTACCGCTCGTTGATGATTTATTGGAATCTTTTGATTTTGAAGTATGCTCCCATGAATGTAATGAAGATAACTCAGTCTCTACAGTTCGCTGTTTACTATTGATATGCTCAAGCCATGAACCATAATATCGAACGACATTTTTATGTTCTAATCTAGCAAGGAATTTAATCTCACGAAAAATCTAAATGAAATAATATTAATTAAAATGCAACCAAAAAGAGCATTTATATTACGAGACGAAATTACGAATTACCTTTTCCTTTTCTTCTGGAATTCTATCGCCACGCAATCTGACCTTTTTTATCGCGTATTCTATCCCATCTAGTTTATTTCTAGCCTTTTTTTTTTTAAAAAAAAAATAAAAATAAAAATAAAAAATTAAACGTTGGTTTAGTATGTAATTTTCAGGATTAAAGGAAACGCTTTAAAATGCTTACCTGCCAAACACTCGCAAATCCTCCTTTACCTAATAACTTCAATTCAAAGAAATCGTTGCTATATCTACTATTCTCGAGATCAAGAATATCTTGGAACGAAATATTCTTAAACATTTGAGAATTTGGGTCATGTTTAGAGTGATTTTCATGAAATCTACTGAAATAAACGAATATTAAAATTGGCAATTTAGATCATTTTATAATCACAATAATCACCTATTCCTATTCTTACTGAATTTCATGAAAGTCAGTAACAGAATGCTTGTTGGCATTTGTTATTCCTTCTTCATGGTTCGAATCCATAATCATATGAGATTCCTTCATTAGTTGTTCTTGCTTTATGGAATTCAACGCTTGAACGAGTAAAGCTTTGAATGTGCGTTGATACGACGATCGAACGGTAGACATTTCGTCAATATACTTTTCAAGGATTGAGACGCGTTAAATATGACTCCACCGTGATTTAATCTCTATGATTATTATCAAATTTTCTTTGCCTATTTGTTCCGACAAAATTGGTTTACTAACCTCCTCCTCAATGATTCCCATAGCACTTAAAGTCTTACATATGATGTAGAACGTCTTGTGATTTCTTTCAGGATTCGTATCATATAATAAACAAAAGTTTTCCAGTAGCGAAACTAATAACAAACGACCTATCGAAAGATAGAGAATTCTTAAAGCGATATTCACGTATCCGAATGAAAATTACTATAAAATAAAAGTCAGCTTACCTTGACGTCGTTTACTCTCTAGAATACTCTCGTAGTCACGAGTATAATGGGATGCTACTTGGAAAGGAATCGAGGATCCCATGGCAGCTTCGATCGAATGTTGATTATCATCTAAAAAGTATGATAGATCGCGAAATTTTTAGCAAAAAAAAAAAACAGGGTAACTCATCAAATTTAAATGCAAAGTGATAAATTATATTTACCCTTAAACACAAGAGCTCCATTATTTGATGCAAACGTATCCAAGGATCCTGGAGTTTGTGGAAATCCTTTTGTGTGACTAGATAATTCTTCTTCATTAGTGAACAAATCGTCAATAACATTTTTATCTCGGGAGGGTTTTTTTATTTGCGTTGTTAATAAAGTTGTCGTATCTTCAGTCGAAGAATTATCCTCAGAACTTGGAGTACTTGCAAAAAATTTGCTTTCACTTCTTTTTTTCTTAGAAACAACGCCCTTGATGTTTATAGACCGTGTATTTGCAGTCATCGAGAAAGTTTGGTGTTAGGTGTCATGGTATGATTTATTCCTGAAAATTTTAACTATTTAAGAAATAAACAAATAAAAAAGGAACGAAAATTTCGAAATTTAAAGAAAAATCGAGATATTTCTTTAAATATTGGTTCGAAAATATGAATAAATTTCAAGAAAAGTTAGTAAAGTATTTTGTATAATGTAGAAGTAAAAAATAAAATCACCTTAATAAATATGAAACTTGTAAAAAAAAAAAAAGAAAAAAGAAATTTGTATTGAAATTTGATGAAGCGAGTTCACCAAATTCTGAGAAAGATAAGACTAGTTGGAAGAAGAATGTTTAGAGAAACAGAATACCTGTCATATCTTCTTATGCAAAATATACAAGTCAAATGATTTTTGAGGAACATAAGACGAGTTCGCATGCACAATGACACTTGATTAACAATTTGATCAAATAGAAATTGAATGGGATTTTGCCACGTTTTTTCCTTAAAAAGCTGACTTTTAAATATTTTTCGCGCCACAATTCCAGAAATTTACCCAGGAGCGAAATTTATTCTGGTGACCTAGTCATATGATCAGGTTACGTTTCAATTTTCAAATTGAGAACGATGAAAATTGACAAAATTTCTTTTAATCCACTTGTTAAACGTAGGAAAAAAAATAAAAATACAGCCGCTTCTCACAAGCAAGCAATAATTCACCCACTAAACATTAATGCGCAAGAAAAAATCGTACAAGGGACGAGAATTCATACTGTTCATTATGGATATGCACCTTCTAATGCATAAATGTATTTAATTCCTACGTGCCGGTTACATTATATTATTTAGAAGTCTAATTAGATCAGGCAAATAATTGTTGTATTCTCTGTGATGATGATAACGTCATTGAATGGATCATGACCTATTCATTAGCATCCACTAAATGATCAAACAATTCATTAGAATTCGCGTTTCATTATGCCAAAGAAAATATTTTCTGCGGTATCTGTCAATACAGCATGAGCAATTCTTGCATTGTGTCGTGACACAATATAGTCGAGCTTGATCAATGGAGTTTAAACGTGTATTGTTATCCTGAACAATTCATACTTGATCAATTGAACATCACATGGGAACGAACAAATTCTAAGGTACCCTTTTTTAGCGGTCCCAAAGTATCGAAATTTTCATCTGATCGCTAGATCAACAGCATACACGTTCGTTGATCAGTTAGTTCTCTCCAATATTGCTAATTTTTTTTCTATTATCTCCCGTTTTTTTTCGTATCTTTTCTTTCTATGATTTTTGATCCGAACTTAATCGATAGAATAGCAGAAAAACGAACATAATTGAAAGAAAAGATATTATTAAAAAGACAATAATAAATCATTTTATTTTATGCATTATATAATAGAGGGATCGACCAAAATAGATTAATATGAAAGTAAATGAACAACTTTTAAATATAAATAATATATAATACTGTAATTTCAATCAAATAATCGTGTTTTATTAGCTTGTTCCTTAACCTTTGTAAAAAATAAAAAAATTTGGTTTTGACGTGTTTGTTTAAACAGTAACTTATTCATTAATAGTAGAAAGATTGTACCTTATCTTCTAATAAATTTACAAAGAAATCGAAATATTTATTGTATATCAAAGGCAAACATGTCACGTGACTTGGAAAGCTAGAGTGAGGAGTATTGTAAAACAAATTCAATGTATTCATTCATGGCCTTTATAAATTTATTCAATGTCACAATTATTTAAAATAAATTTATTAGTTATACTTTTATTCATTTGATCGCTCCTAATCTATATTTCGAACATATATATAATGTCTATTTTTAAAATATAATGATATAATAAATACAATAAATATACCTGACTCTTTGTTGCATATATGAATAAATATATTATGCAATTAAAAAGTAAAATGATTTCCGAATTCGTCATTCATACTTTGTAATTTTGTGGTGCAGGAACTGCGAAGGAGAAAAAAAGAAACAATTTCAATAATCATTTAGATCATTTATAAATCATTACAGATTAAAGGCGAGGAAAAAAGGGGGGGCCTTAAACCTACCTTTCGTACACTTCTAATTTTTTACCTTTACTCCATTCGATTTCTACTACTTCATCTTGTGATAAATATTGAGCATATATGCTAAGATCACGACTAATATAAACGGCACCAGGATGTAATTCGTATTCGTGTCCGAACTTGAACAATTTTTCATCCTTAACATCTAGTTCACCGTAATTATCAAACAAAAATAATTCATGTGCTGAAGGACGATTGAATGGATTAGGATCCCAACATTTTCTTAATATTTTAATAAAATCGTCCGGAAATTTATCGATGTTTTTAATTTCAGGTCTCACCCCATTACAAATGTCAAGCATTAACGTTTGATCATGTGCTCGATTTGAAAATGGAGGAACTCCTGAAATGAGCTCATACATGATCATTCCTAAACTATAAATATCGGAGGATTGAGTGTATGCGTTCCCTCTCAACACTTCTGGGGAGATATACGGCATAACTCCGTATAAATCCGTTCCAAAAGTATGATAAGGAGGTCCATTTTGCCCTATATCCGTAATCGCAATTTTTGATTCCTGACCACTTAAATTATTTCTCATTAAAATATTTCCCGCATGCAAATCACGATGTATCAAACCTTTTTTATGAATTGTCAGGAGACCGTGAAGAATATCTTTAAGAATTGTAATTCTCGTCGACCAATCACATTTCGCTTCCAAGAGATGAATATTACCGTACGGCATATATTCTAGAACCATAATAAAATCTTGAGTTTCCGGGTCTTGAGAAATTCCATAACATCGAAGGATAGTTTGCTTTAATACAGACAAAGCCGCACATTCAACGTATGCCGAAATCTTTTTTTTTTTTGTACATACATACGTGTGTGCGTACATGCATATGTTTAAATTTATTTATTTATTTTTTTTTTTTTTTCAAAAAAAAATTTTTTTTTTTTATACATGAATAAATACCTCTTTCAAAAATTCCGTGCTACCTTTTGAATCTTCAAGCACTTTCAAAGCAACCCTGCAAGAATCATTTCTTTCCCATTTTCTACTCTTGACATTCCAATTCCATATAGGACCATCACACCAAATGGCCTCATAGACCGTAGCAAAGCCTCCTTGGCCAACCTTTCCCAAGATGTCAAAACCTTCAAAAGGCATCCATTGAATGAATTGATCAAAATCTATCGCCTTTAATTGGGTTTGCTGTATAAAAGAATCGATTTCATCATTTTCACTCGTCCAGTTTTTGAAATTATTCTCAAATTCCTGCTTTTGACATGAATCACACCACATAAAAGTGTTGAATTTTTGCCTGCAAGTGCTACAATTAAACTATTAATGAGGTGATCATTGAATCAGTTAATGGTTATTAAAAGGGTATTTTTTGAAGTTTATCAAAAAAGCTACCTCAGACATTTCGGAAAACAATCACACATTATTTACTCACATAATTCATTTTTTTTTTTTTTTTTTTCTTTTTGAATAAAATAAATTATCTTTTAGGGAGGGGAATAATTACAAAAGAAAGGTTTCATATAACGCACATATTTTTCGGACATTTTATATCGATGATCAATAAAAATGGTGGGTATGGACAATTTTATCATTTTACATTGTGTGTGCACAGAAAAAAATATTCGGAATTTAGTTTTTATAAAGCATTAATAATTACCAAAAATATGAACAAAAAATAATAAACAAAAAAGCATTGGCCCATTTTATTTAAGACAAACACATTGACAAATAAATAATTTCCCTTTCAAAAATAATTTTTAGTGGTTTTTCGGAAATCATTTATAAACTCGGCTTTTTTAGTATTTGGCATACAAAACGCTTTGCGCCACAAAACATCGTGTGACGTTTGTGACAGTTTAAGTGTCATGATCAACAATCTAATTTTTTTTTTATGTTATTCTTTATGTTATTCAAACACGTGATCGTCCTAAAAAGAGACAAAAAAAGTCTCATTAAAAAAGTTTTTGTCTCTCCATTTAGTAATCGAGTATCGATCGACCATTATATATAAAGGGTAATGTTTAACGACATAAAAAAAAAAATAATAAAAAAAAATTTTTGAAATTTTTCTCACCCGTTTACAACTTATTCTTTCAAAAAAAAAACAATATAATCTGTGTTGTCAAATCAAAACCAATATACAAAAAAAAAATGTCAAAACATACTCCCATCCTAGAAAGACAATTTGTTAATGAAGCACTTGAACGAGAGGCACTAACGCATAAATCATACGCATATGAAAATCCAATGAGCGGGAATCATAATGAAAAGTTGGAGTTTTTGGGAGATTCAATTATATCATTTGTGGTGGCGGATTATCTATATGATAGATGCAAAGATTATAAGGAAGGAGAACTTACGATGCTGAGAGCAAAGTTAGTTTGTAAACAAACTTTGGCAGAATTTGCGGTAAAGCTTAAATTAGATGTCAAGTTAAGGTTAGGCGTCGGAGCTTTGAGTTCTAACGCAAGGAACAATGAAAAGGTTTTAGAAGACGCTTTTGAAGCTTACGTCGGAGCCATATTTTTAGATACAAGAAGAAATTATAACGAAGTAATGGAATTTATGAAACCTTTAATAGAACCAAAAGTTGAGCAACTTCTAAAGGAAGGTCTTTCTTCAAATACAAACCCACAGAAACAAAATATTTCTAGTCCTATAATCGGTCCTCGAGATTTGTCTTTTCCAAATTTACCCCATGAAGATCCTATTAACACCCTTCAAACCTGGTCACAGAGAAGAGCATATGGTTTACCTCTATATAAAGAAGTTGAAGTGAAAGGTCAAGATCATAATCCACAGTTTACTTTTGAAGTGGTCATCAACAATAAAGCATACGCCCAGGGGACGGCGAGAAATAAAAAGGACGCTAAAAAACAGGCCGCCATCAAGGCCCTCAATACTATAAGGGGTGATGGTAAATCTGATGCTAAACCACCTGATCCTCCTGACGTTAAACCTAACGTTAAACTATCTAATGTTAAACCTGAATTGAGTAGAATGACAAATAGTTTTCGTAGTATGAACATAGTCTAACATTCGGGTTTAATATTTCGAATTTAACCTAATTAGATTCGAAATAAAGATTCTTCGACGAGCGATGATTCCCTTTTGGAGATGGATAAGGGATTATGAAGGTTTTTTCCTCTTCGATAATTACCAATTTACTTGATGTTGTTTCTACAAAAATTTGTAATTTATTTTATTTTGAAGGGAAAAAATAATCATTTAACAACCCATTCTTGCTTTGTGCAGTTGAAGTTTTTTGGCGTAATACGAATGTACCATCGGAGAAGGTGCAAAAGAAAAAAAAAAAAAAAAAGCCAAAAAAAAAAGAAAAAAATGTAATACGCATATTAACAATAGAACCGTTTGATGCTGTGGGCCGTTATTTTATGATGATTTTTAAATCATCATTTATACATTAGCTACTTATTTTGTAAATTTTTAATAAATTTAATAAACATCTATTGTCATTAAAATCTTTTTTGTTACATTTGTGAACTTCGCCACGAATTTACTACGCGGAATTTTTTTTTTCCCGAACTTTTCCTTTCACGAATAAAATCCATTACTAACCTAAAGGAGATTTTATCACACATTTATTCTCGAATTGTGGAACATTATGCCTGCGTAAATTTCCCTTTCTTTTTGTAAACCTTAATTTCTACTCGTAACTTTTTTTTGACAAATTTCACACTAATGCAAATTTTAAATTATGACCGTCGACAACACTATAGTGGAATCCTCAAGCACCAACGCCCAAACACTGACAGAATTATCAAATGTAACCTCAAAATATTACCAGAAAAATCTAATAAATTATTTAAGAGAGTGTTTAAATTCATTGAGTGATGCAATAGAAAATTATTCGATATTTAGAGATACCAGAACAAAAGAATTTCGAAAAGAAATTGAAAGAGTAAGAAATAAATTAAAGTCTAATAGAGAGGTAGAAGGTTCCTCTGATAGAAACGATTTGTTGGATTTAAATGTTTGTCTTATCGGTAACACTGGGTCTGGTAAGTAAAAAGGTGTTGTTAACAAAAGAAGTTTTGATATGGTTAAAAAGTGAATTTTATTTTAATTCCAAGTGAACTTATTTGAAAAGGAAAATCTTCGCTTATAAATGCGTTGCTTAATCATCAAGTGATGCCAACGGCTGGATCCGGCGAGTACGTTAATTAAACAATTATTGTTAAAAAAAAAAATTTTTTTTTTTTAAATAATTTTCTTCTTTTTTTACAGAGCATGTACATCGTTCCTTTGGAGGATATCAAATAATTCAGAATTTACGGCTAAAATTTTTTATAAAAGGTTTGAAGAATATCAAAGTGAAGTCAAACAAGCATTCGAATTATTGAGTGAAGAGGAAGATATTGATTCTCAAAGTTTATCAAAAAAGAGTGAGTTACATTTTAATTAAAAACATCAAAGATTTGAAGATTAATTGATTTATTTTTATGTTTGTGTAGATGAATCTGAAAAATTGCTTGAAACTCTGTTCGGTCCAGGGATGTCATACGTAGTTACCGATGATAATAATAAGGAAATCGTATTTGGACCAAATAAGATAACCAAAGAAATGGCGATGGCGGATAATTCAATACGAGAACTACTTAAAAATCCAATTCATGAAACAACACCAAAACGTGACGTCAAAGAACTAATAAAAACATTAAAAAAGTTTCTTCCACCGAAAGAAGGACATGGTAAAAGTTCATCGTCCGCATCTAGGAGTAACTATAGTAACGGTTCTAGTAGTGTACCGCATTGGCCTTTTATTAAAGAGATTCACATTCAAGGACCTTTTGAAGTATTGAGGAATGGTGTAGTATTGATCGATGTACCTGGTAATTGTGACATTAATGAAAATAGAAGTCAAACCGCTAAAAGTGTTTTAGATATTACGGATCATATTTGGATCATCAGTAACATTAACAGAGCCATCAGTGAAGAAAGTACTGCAAATATTCTTAGCGAAAGTCTTCGTGATCAGGTAAGTTATATTTATTTATTTATTTATTTTTGTTTTCGTAATTTTCCTTATGACTTAAATTTGTCCCTTGATAGCTTAAAATGACTGGAAAATATTTATCTCGAACCTTTATTTGTACTCATTCTGACATTATAACTCTTGACGATTCTGATGACGAAATCGGTATGTACGAACGGGTCTACCTATTTATATACAGATACGTGGTGGTATTACTTTATCTAACCAATACTAAACTTAGACGAAAGATCAAATGAGTTAAATGTCGAGCGAGAAAAGTTAGAAGATGACGTACAATTAATCAAGGAAGAGATTGAAGAGCTAAAGGAAGAAGAAGATACAAATTTTGCTTTAACGAGAGAAAAAATTAACAAATTAGAAAAAGAATTAGAAGAAAAAGATCATCGATTGACAAAAATTCAAAATGATTTGGCGCATATATCAAGACAATCGGCCGTTTCCGCCGTTAAATGTCGGAATGAAAAAATTAAACAACATATCCTTAAATTTGAACTACAATCTCAACGTAAGCATGTATATTTTATTAAGTTTTTTTTTTTTTTTTTTATTTAAAAGAATTTGACTTATTGAGATTATGAAATTATTTCTTTAGAATTTATGAAAGATTGTACGAATACTTGCGATTTGCAAGTTTTCACCGTTAGCTCAGCAGAATACATGAAACTTAATCGTACTATGCGTGATGATGGAAGAGGAAGGTATTTATTATTATTATTGTTTTTTTTTTTTTAAAAAAAAATATTCTTTCTATATTTCCTTATCTAATTCCCCCCTTTTTTTTATTTAGAATCTTAAATGAAGAAGATACAGAGATACCAAACCTCATAAATCATCTAAAAAAAATTAGTAAAATCAATATTTCAAATAAGATTAATAATATAATCAAAAATATCAAGTCATTAATCGAATCAATGTTAAGATATACGAATGATAATATTTTATTGGATACTATGGACAAAAGACAACAAGCAAAAAATAAATTTAGTGATGAAAGATATAGATTAATATTTGAATATAGGAAGATAGTAGGCAATATTATGAAACAATTTTCGGATGAAATAGATAAATATGTTTTTAAAAAAATCGATGATGTTGGTAGGATTGAAGCCGAAAACAAATGTATTACCACAATTAGTCGTCATGGGGTATGTTATAAAAGTTATAACTTTACTTTTAAATAGTAGTAAATTAAAATTTTAATATTTGCTTTTAGCGTCATCTTCACCATGCCATTTGGAAAGCCACTGTCAAGAGAGATGGATATTACATAGATTCTAATGGTTTACCTCATAACTTTAATGCAGTAAGCGAATTTACATCAACTATATATTTTCAAAATCGTCTAAATTCTTAATCTCTTTTTTTTAAATTAGGATTTGATTCATCCGATTATAAAATCAGTGACGAATAATTGGTTTATAGTATTTAGTGAAATGCCAAAAAATTTAGTTGAACAGCTTGACACTCAAGTTAATGAAGAAATAACGAGATTTTTCGAAGCTATTGATAAAACGATATTAACAATATCACCAGATAAGAAGAAATATATAGAAAAATTTCAATTAGAAATTAAAGACAATAGGGAATTACAAATGAACAATATTAAAGAAAAGATTTTAGATAAGTTTAGAGAATTACAATTTGAATTACAATTCGAATTAGAAAATTCTATGAAAAACTCCATGAAAGTAGCATATCTCAGTGAGTAATCATACATTATTTATTTATTTGTAAGAAAAAAAAAAAAAGTACTTTGCATTAACCTCGAGATTAATTTGTGATTTGCAGATACCATGGAAGAATCAAATTGGCAATCAATGAAGGATTATTTACAAAATTATGTAGAAAATAATAAATCAAGATTATTTGATTATGCCATAAATAAATTTAAATCAAAAGTTCCAATATCAATTGAAAGATTACAGGAATATATTATTGGTACGGTATTCACTACATTAAATGAAACTATTGAAAATGATTATGCATGTTTTTGGGAAATTACTAGCAAATCAAATATATTTTTACAAGAAAAAGATAGTTTTATAGGGGATGTTAATAAAATTATTGATAAATTAAATTTGATTCAAGAAAATTTAAATGGACAAATATTGAAAGAAAAGGAGAACATTGAGATGGTTAAAGGAAGATCGAAAAAAAAGGAGAAAAGAAGTGAAATTGTTTGAAGGATAAACTTAAAAAACTTTATTTTATTTCTACATCCCCCCCCCCTTTTTTTAGTATATATTTACAAATTTTATTTACTTTGTATTTATTCTACTTATCCATTTATTTTTTTTGTAAAAAAAAAAAATTATAGATATTATTTATTTTGAAGATTTTTTCTTTTTAAAAAAAAGAATATAATAAAATAATCCGAAATAGCAGACATTTTGTTTGGTTTGATTGAAATTGGTAATACTAATAGAGGTATGTACCTATGATTTTGTAACGTAACTTTAAAAATCAATTCAAAAGAGTCATTTAGTTGTCAAAAACTTGATGATATGGCGTTTTGCCAAAATAAATCCGGATTTATTTCAGCCGAGATGCATTATAATAATTGGTATATAAAAATAAATTGTTAGATCTTTACTCATCAATGTAAATAATGTTTGTAAGCGAAACTTTTTACACTCGACAGAATGAATGAATACTTATTTGTTAAATAAGAATCTCGGTCCCCTTTTTTTCAAAAAAAAAAAAAAATTTAATAATGAATCTTGATGAGAATCTTCAGATAACAAATTGTTGAATGCGAAACATCATCTTCAAAGGGAAATTCATTAAAGTTATTGATAACGAATCTTGAATGTGAATCATCATCAAAACGAAATTTTAAAAATGATGAAAATACCTGTCTATCATCACCCTTGTGATCATATAAAATACATTTTTTATTACTAGATTGTAACTGAAAGAGTCTAATCATCGAAATATCTCCATATAGAGAATCATTATTGAATTGATTTAAAAGGATAATCATAATTCTCATATTCTTTTATCATGTACAAAAATATTCATTCATTTAATTACAGTACAGTATAGAACCGGTTTCTGTTCGATTTTGAGGATCAGATCGAATTGATAGACCGATTTCTTTTCTAAAGAAAATAACAAAAATTTTTGTGGGGATGCACAACAAAATAAGTCGAAATGGTTTTCAGGTCAATATCTTGGCGGGAATAAAAGTTTTGGTAAATAATACAATCGGTAGATAATAAAAAAAAAAAAAAAATTGTCAAATTTTTTTATATTTTTTGTTATAAAATTTGGATTGGGAAAATTAAAACGCAATGCACTTTCTGTCGTACAATTCTATAATTTTTTAATTTTCGTCTTTTTAAGATTTATAAACTCCGGTCTATATTTCGTCGATCTATAAATTGGTTTACAGTTCGATTTTACCATCAAACAGATAAAAATCGGAACCGTTAACATCCTTAATTATATTAATAAAAAAGTTTCTGTTTTTGAACACGTGATTTAAACTGTAGAAAACATTCTTTAGATTATCTTAAATAGAAATTGACTTTTATTTTTTAAAAGGGCCTTTTTTTTTTTAGAAAAAAAAAATCTTCAACGCGAAAAAAAGAAAAAGAAACGCGAAAAGAAATCATTACACATGCTTTATGCATTAAAGTTATAATAATTTTTTTTTTTTTTTTTTTTAAAGGAAAAAAAAAAATTTCTCAACAAACAAAAGCATCATGTTTTGTTAATGAAAAAATACTATAAATATAAAAGTAATGCTTTCCAATAAAATCTGTCATTTGTTCCTATTAACATGCTTGATAAAAGTAAGTCTCATTTAGATATCTTTAGATTCGGGGTTAGCTGGTTCATCTTTAACTTGTTTCTCCTTATTTTCTTTTAAAGAGAGAATGTTACTAAGGAATATTGGTTTACCACTATTTATAATAAGAAATGAAAATAAAAATCATGATCGATGATAAAAAAAAAAATAATAATAAAAAATTATGAATTTGATACCTCTTGTAATTTTTTTCTCTTTTGGCGTGCAACTTCTTTGTGCATGGTGACAAGTTTCTATCGGTTGGAGAAACAAAACTTCATTTTTTTTTTTTAAAAAAAAAATAAATAAATAAATAAATGAAAGAATAAATATTATATTAATAATAAGTTCTTCCATTAAAAATTCCAATATACTTTTCATAAAACTTACTTTTTTGCAATTTTCGGTAGCAAGGTTTCACGAGAAATTTTGGGTTTTTGAACGTGCATTTCTTGTATTTCAATAACGTTCGAGACAAGTGAACTATTATTATCAAATGACGAGTTCAAAGGAAATTGCTCTACCTTTGATTTATCTTCGTTAATGGTCTGTTGCTTAATCATTTTTGTTTTAAATGAAAACAAACGTAAGAGAAAAGCAATAAGGAAAGCACCACGCGTTCTTTATAACTTAATCGACCAATCAAAGTAAACAAATTTGATTGGATGAATTATTTTTATTAAATCAAGTCACGAGTAGGGATGGGCGTTAATTAACCTGGTTAATTAACCGCGGTTAATTAACCGTTAATTAACCGTTAATTAACCGAGGGATAATTAACCATTTTGGTTAATTTTGAATTGACCAATCAAATCAAAGAAAATTTGACCAATAAAATTGATAGATTAATATAGATAATAGATCATCTTTTTTTTCGTTTAATGTTAACGTTAATATTTATCGAAAGTTTAATTTTGAATATGTAAATTTTCCTTTTTAACCTTTTTAATATGTAAACCTAAAATCGCGTTAAATAGCTTTGCTTGTTCTCCTTATTCTCCTTGTTCTTATTATTTTCAACTTATCAAATATTTGATTTATAAATAAAGTCAACACTTTTTGAAGTACATTTTCAATAATTTCTTTGGTTTTTTTTATTCAAAATGGTAAAAAAGAAGGGAACTATTTGGAACCATTGGACAATTATTACACAAAGTTCAATAGAAAATAATGAGATTAAACCAAGTTTACATCCTTCTGTAAAATGTAATTATTGTTCTAAAGTTTTCAATAGAGCTGTTCCTTTAAGAATGCAAGCTCATCTTAATGAGTGTTTAAATGCATCAAGTAATGCTAAATTACAAAAAACCATTCCAATACAAAATCCTATACCCTCAAATATCACAGAACATCCTTTAACTAATACAAATACACCTCTTATTGAAAAAAATAGATCTAAAAAACAAATCAAATTAGATAATTTTGTTGATAATATGAAGGAAGAAGAACAGGAATCTCTTGAATTTTTACTAGCTCAGGCATTATATTCAGCTGGAGTACCATTTACCTTTGTTGATAATCCCTTTGTTATTCAATTTTTTAAATATCTTCGACCATCTTTTAAACTTCCAAATAGAAAGAAGATTGCTAATGAATTATTGGATGAAGTTTATGAAGATGTAAAGATACAAGCAGATGAACAAATTTCAAAAGCAACAACTCTTTGTATGGTTTCTGATGGCTGGTCTAACATTAACAGAGATTCAGTACATAATTTTGTTATTTGTACTCCAAAACCATTTTTTTTTGATGCAACTTTTTCAGGTGAAAAATCTCATATAGCAGAATGGATTGCAAATCAAATAATTCAACAAATGAATATTATTGGTATCCAAAAGTTTTTAGCAGTCATTATAGATACAACTAATGTAATGAAAGTAGCATGAAAAAATATTGAAGAAAAATATCCTAATATTGTTTGACTTGGGCATAATTCTCATATTATTAATCTTTTAATTAAAGATATTTTATGTTTTAATGAAATTAAAGCTATAGTTAATAATGCAAAATCAATAATAATCTATTTTAGATCTCATCTACAAGTAGCAGCAAAATTAAAACATATTTAATTAGAAAATTATAACAAGAAGATTACATTAGTTTTACCAGTACTTACATGATGGGATACATATCTTAGCTATTTTCAATCACTTAAAAAATCAAGAATTGCTTTTGAAAAATCATTGATGGATCCTTTGATTCGCAAAAAAATGGATCAAATAATGAGAAATAATATATTATTAGATGAATTTTAGCAAATGATAGATTTGATAATTAATATTTTAGAACCAATAGTTGTAGTATTAAAGTCTTTGAATCAGATACATCTATTCTTTCAACAATTTATTCATATTATAGTAAATTAATAGAACAATTTGGTAAAGTTTCATGGCATTTATCTAAAAATATTCAGCAATTTATTCAAAAAAGATAGGAATATGCATATCATCCTATTATGATAGCTGCTTATATGTTAGATCTATGTTTTTTAGAAGAAAGTAAGAATACAAATTTAGAGGCAATTAAATATTCTAAATTTACAGCATTTACTAACAAATTGTTTGATCAGGAGAAATCTGTAATATTGTTTATTGAGCTAGTAAAATTTCATCAAAAAGCTTTGCCATATGATAATGAAATAATTTAGATATCATCATCTACTCTTAGTTCTTCTGTATAGTAGCAATCATAGCCAAGTTGTGAGCTTCAGCAATTAGCTATCAAAATTTTTTAATTTCTACATCATTAGTAGCTGCAGAGAGAAATTTTTTTACTTTTGAATTTATTCATAGCAAAATCTGAAATCAATTATGTAATAATTACATTAAAAAGTTAGTTTATATTTATGGAAATCTCCGGATGTATGATGAGTTCAAAAAATAAAGTTATGTAATAAAGGCAAGAAATTCACAAAGAATAAAGAGGATAATAATGAAGGAGGTAATGAAGGAAGCAATGATAATGATGATGATTTATTGAATTTTGATGATAGTATTTTCAGATTTGAATCAAATGTAATAAATTTATTGTAATAATATCAATATGTAGCTATTTGAAATAATAAATTTCTGTTTAATAAGTAATATTGCAATAATGATAAATAAAAAATTAAAAAAATTATTTTTTATATAAAATCTTATATTAAAATTTATATTACGATTAATTAACCAAATCTTAATTAATCGTTAATTTTTCATCCCTAGTAATTGCTAATAACTTTACAGTTACTATAAAAATGTATTGATTAGTGGATTTTGCTGCTTCGTGATAAAATATTCAATCAATGCATTGCTTATCATAAACTGTGTATAGTGTAAATGGCTTAGTAACATCCAATATTATTAGCAACTTTAAAATGTAAAGAAATTTTATTTAATTATAAAAATATTAAAAAAATACATTGTTTGATAGCTCTTAATATAGTTTTTAATACAATGTATTTTTTTTTAATTTATTGTAAAAATTTTTTGTAATTAAAAATTTTGCAGTATTAATTTTAATAGTAATAGTGGGATTTTTAGTGCTACAAAAATCACGTAAAAGGACATGATTAGTGTGTGTAAACTATATAACAGCATATGATTAGCTAATTACAACTCAAAAAATTTTATTTACACGTCTCCAAATTCTTCTAAAACATTTTCAGGAACCTGACGATGGGATTGATAGTATTTAATAGTAAAAATAGCTACCTTACCTAAGAGTTCAAGTTCGTAAGCACTTATGTAATGTGCAGAATAATATGAAAATTGACAAATTTTAGTTAGGCTAATATAATCTAATACATGTGATACAACTTTCTTGAGGTTATTGAATGAGTAATTGCAGTTAAGACGTGAGTACTACTTTATCTCCGCTCAAAGACTTAATGTAATTAAGCTTGCAATAAAATTTTAGATAGAACATGCATATATGTCTTGCAGCTTCAATAACCTAAAAGATAAGTATTTTTTTAGTTATATTGTAATATTGAAATACATAAATTAATTGCAACTTACCTCTTGTAGATATATCTTTTGTGATGTAAAGTCAGGTTAAGTAGAAAGAATGTATGATGCATAATAGTCCAGTTTATACATATTATATTTTCTTCTCAAACCAGTATCCATAAGCCACACTTCTCAAAAACTTATCAGATACTTTTGGATTTTATTCACAAATGTCATAATATGAGGTGAACCTTTAGGTATTTTACTGATACAAAGAAGTGGTTGCTTTCCAATATTCTTCATATTCATCCTTAAAATTACTAATGCATCATCGGCAAATACATTATGATTGCAGCTATTATCAAACAAAAATAATGCGACTTTTCCTGGATGAGTATATTCAAATATTGGAATTGCCTATTCTTTTATCTGTTTAATAACATCTTTGTTTGTCCACTAGCTATTGCGATTTGTATTAGAATATATTATAACATAAGCTTTAGTATATACAAGTCGCTTACTATCAGGAAGTGAATTATTAATGACATTTTTTTCATTTGAAAGTTAAAGTCTTCAGATAAACTCATAGAGAAAGTCACTTATATGAATGCTAAGACCTTGTGATTTGTGATGAAGTCGACTTTCATCTGCTAGATCTCAAGCCTTAACAACATCATCATTTGCATAAAAGATTGATTTATTGTGAGTAATGGAAACGATTTTTAAGACCATCAAAATAAATATTTTTTGAATGATCTTTATATTTTCAATTAAGGATATATAACTATTGACGTGCAGTTAAGCATGAGATCTTTGTCTTTTCTTCTATCTTAAGAGTAGAAATAACCTCATTCTTAATGAATTTTACAAAATTAACAATATTTAATTTAAACTTATATGCACGTAAATATTTAATAACTCGTAACTTGAGATCCTTATGAAGCAGTAGAGACCTGATTTTTGCATGATGGCCACATTTAGATGAAATAATTGTACCATTGCTAAGTTATTAATTTGCCTAGAAGCGGATAAGCTGTGCTTATCACAAACCTTTATTTAAGTTTTGGGCAAGAAGATTACTTGCATCTATTTTTATGAATCCTTGGTCCTAAACTAGATGAAGAAATTGACTTACCATTTAAAGCTACAAATCATCTTTTTTTAATAATAAATCTAAAGATTTTAGAGTAAAATCTTCATCATCATCACTATTATCATATTGTCAACGGAACAATTAACCAGTCATAATGAAGTCATGTGGATGACGCAGTATGACGATCTTTTAATTCAGAATTCTGAAAATACTGAGAATTCTGCGAATTCTGGAAATACAGAGGATCTGCGTAACTCTGAAGATCTTCCAAATACTGATAATAATCACAATTAAATGAAGTCTAAGGATATTTGGTGTTATACG